CTGTCTCCATAGCTTTAATTTTCGAGATTAATGGAAGATCATTGTGGCATTTGTCACACTGATGTTTTGGTGACATTGCTGGTGCATATTAGTTGTAAACCCTGGACTGTTCAGCATTTTGGGATGCCCTCCTTATGTGAAAGGCAAAGTAAATTTGTTGTTGTGTTGTTGCTTCTTTTGCCCAAATAAAACCAGTCACTTTATTTCTATAACTAAGAACTTGCATTTTTAGAGCGCCTTATCAAACAAAACATCTCTTAAGTGTTTCACAAGTAATTACCGGCAAATGTAGAGGCAGCCATTTGCTCCAGGTTGGGTCTCATCATCAGCCATAAAGTGAATGTCAATGAATCTGGTGACGTGATTCAAATAAGCTTTACAGCTCAACAAACATTGCTAGAACCATCACAACATGTCTTCTGACCTTTTGGTCGAATATAACACTTAGAAAAGGGGAAAATTGTGATTGCAAAAAGCCTTTATGGAATCAGTCGGATTGCAACAAGACTTGCTGTGTTGGATGCCTTTATCTTTTATGGCAAAGGATTGTTAGATCAATAAGATATTTTTAGTGTTCCATTAACAATAAAGTGACATACTCTGCAGAGAGGAATGAACCGTGATCGACGATTAGACAAACTAGGGCTCTTCAGTCTTGAGAGAAGGTGACTCACAGGGACCTTCTGGAGGCATATAATATTTTAAATGGGATTGAAAACGTAAACCCAGAACAATACTTCAGGATGCAGTGAGACAGTAGAACAAGAGGACATATGTTTAGAGTTGAGTTGTAAAGGACAATTTCAGGATAGATACCAGGAAGTTTTGCTTTACCCGGAGGATAATTAATGACTGGAACAGATTGTTTGAGATCAGGAGAATGAATTGAAGTCTGTTAAAGTGCTGTACATCGCTATCTAAGTAGTAGTTTCTGTGAAAAAGCACTCAGAGATGACTTTTTGCATATCAGCGTGATATACATGAGATTCCTTGCATTCTTTAAGAGCTCCAAGACGCTGCCCTGTGTGAAGGGCACTATATAAATGCAAGTTGTTGTTGTATCATTTACACTTGCATGGTCATAAAACCAGAGAAATGTACCACATAACAGGAAGCCATTTGACTCATCATAATAATGTTGGTATTTGATCCTCCAATTATGCCACCCATCCCCATTCCTAAATCTTTCCCCATATCCTCTAATACCCTTCCTCTGCGTGTGCCTAAATAATTATCTTTTAAGTGCCTCAATCAGTTCTGCTCCAACAGCCAATACTGGTATTTCTTTCCAACACTGAGAATCCCATGAAGTTTTTCTGTAACTCTTCCTCTCATGTTCCTAGTTATAATCATAAATTCCTTACCTTTATCCTCGCAAACCCTTTCATTTTCTTAAAAATATGATTCAGTATCAACTCTTTAGATTTTTCAAAGGCTCAATGCTCCTTTTTATTCTGTAATGTCTGTGGTTCAATTAACAAACCATTTGCAAAAGTTGTATTATAGGAATTCATGCAAGCATTATCATCATCTTGGACAAAAGGCAGCAACAACAAAAACAACAAGATTACATTTGTATAGCGCCTTTCATGTCGGGACGACGTCCCAAGGCACTGGACAGAGTACAGCATTTCAGACCCAAGCTGGGATCAGGCGGGGACAAGGGAGGGGAGGGGAAGGGGAGTGGCCGATGGCATAGTCGAAGAGGAAGGTTTTGAGACAGGACTTGAAGGAGGCTAAGGAGGGGGAGAGGCGGAGTGATTTGGCGATGGAGTTCCAGAGGTTGGGGGCTGAGTGGCTGAAGGTTCTCCCGTCAATGGTGGGGCGGGTGGATAGGGGGACGTGAAGCAGGCCAGAGCCCAAGGGTAGATAAAAATGGTAGAATCTATTTTTTTCCTGAAAAATTCTGAACATAATCATTGCACCAATCTAAATCATGATGCAGACAGCAGAGTAATATTTTACTGAGACAAGCCACCTCACAAGTCACACGTGTAATTTGCATGAGCATGTGCTGCTGGTGCCATTTCTCAGCAAATTCTTTCTCTTTTATACAAACATGAGAGCAAGAAAATAATACTTTGTCCATTAATCCCTTTACTATTGTGTTTAAAACCTCTTCACTAACAAAAAATGTTTTTCAACCATGTGAAATTTAATTAAGAGCAAAGACTGTAGAGTAAGGATCTTACACATGATTTCAGAATGCACATAGAATTATCAATATTCTCATAAAAGACATTTGAAAGTTAATACTATAATCATGCACCCATAGTCCACTTGTCTTGAAGACAATTTACTATGCTAGACTATGCAGATAACCTCTATTGACACCTCTCTTGTGAATATCTTTCAAATGCAAACACATTTAAATTTTAAATATGTAGGCTCAATTAAACTAAAAAAAATTGCAATGACATTTTTGAACCACCAAGTTCTGTTGTTTCAGCATTTTATTAATAGTTTAGACACATACCAAGCTCTTTAAGTGAGACTTAAGTAGTCAGCCACATGCAGCCACATGTCAGCCATATGCAGGAAAACTCCATGACTGTGCTTAAAGTATCCATTCACCCCATCTATACATGGATATTCCAGAGATGCTTATTGGATTATAATCCGCACTCTCTCCCTGGAGGGACGCACCCTAATTCCCTAATGCCAGAGAGTATTAGGAGCGTTAGATTTAAGTGTTATATGATGAAGTGTTGGCTCAGTTATGTAAGTAACAGATTAAATGGCATATTTGCATATTAAAGAATTCACACAGTGAAGTTCACACTTTTGAAGTTGTGAGAAAATAATGAAAAACACATGATTTCGCAATGGAGCTAATTGCTACAAATCTATATTTTAAAAGAAGCCATATTTTCAAATAACCATTCAACATAAAAGAATGTGTAAGCGTTAGTTTTATAACATGGCTTTAAAGTGAAATTTAATCATAAATTATTCAGTCAGCAGTTAATGAATCTTTCTTATAAATCCACTAAGGTATTTTTTTCTAGGATATTTGCCAACTCCTCGCTGGATAACGATTCCTTAAACATTTTTAAACAAATGTGAGACCTCCGCTCTGGAGATTAAATTGCAAAATAAATTAACAGTGAAGAAACAGTGAAAGTCAGGGTGGATTAATACCCATTCAAATTGCAAATGGAATCTTTGTACAGAATCTTAAAAGCAAACCGCAGTAGTAATATCAGGAAGCATGAAATGGAAACAGCACATTTCCATCAAAGCTCCGGTTTGATGGAGCCCAAGCAAAACATTTCTTATCATGAATTTTTCTCCACTCACGTCTCCTGGGAGACATTCTACAAAGAACCTCTGAATCCAGTCAATCAAACAAAAGGTTCGTAAGTCTTCCATCACCATTTAAATATATATTTAAAGGATCGTGTCCTGTCCTTTTTAAAAATATATATTCTTGAAATTGTTATGTTTGATTTGCTTAGAATTTCCAAGTTTTGATGATTTGTAGTATTTTTTGTCTCAAGAAAGGCACTTTCAGTGAAAGTTATTGGTCTCAGGTCCTCCTATAACAATGTGCAAGGATGCACATGGGATGAAACTAGTCCAGAAGATGTCTGTAACTGGTCTGTTCACGTACTCCGCCTCGCTTGGCCCACCATTGGCGGGTGGGCCTTCTACCACTCCGCCGCCACCCTCTGGAACTCCATCCCGCAGTCCCTCTGCCTCGCCCCCTCTTTGCCTCCTTCAAGACCCATCTCAAGACCCTTCTCTTCGACCGTGCTTTCGATCTCCCTGCTTCCCCCCTGCCCTCCACCCTCCCTGATCCCAACCCCCAGCTCGGGTCCGAATCTCTGACTGTCCAGCACCTTGGGACATCCACCCGACGTGAAAGGTGCTTTACAAATGTAATTTTGTTGTTGTGCTGCATTGTGCTGGTCTGTGTTTTCTTCAGACAGAATATGTAAAGGTTTCAATGGCTGCAAGTTCCTTATTTAACTTTTTTGTTAATTTTCCCTTATTTTCATGTTATGATTAATAATTTTATTTCTTTCTGGGTTATTCAAGAGATGAAAATTATAAATTTACAGGATAGGAGATCATGCGGCACAAACTAATTTTGATTCTTAATGCCCACCTGAACAGAGAGATGGTTTAACATCTCACCTGAAAGGCAGCACCTCAAAACCTTGTAATCAGAGATCGCTTTAACACAAAATTGTGTGCATATTGCTTAAAAAAATCTTCCTGTACGTACAAATTGGCATTCCGTGTGTACCATGTAGGCAATTTTTTTTACAGTCCAAGTTCTTTGTTTTCTCACTTATCGCCCTGTGGGGAATCAAACCCGGGTCTCGCGCTTGCGAGGTGAGTGCTCTAACCACTGAGCTACAGGACTCCATGTGATAGCCTCGTAAGCGAGAGGCCCCAGGTTCGAATCCCGGGTAGGACTTAACCTTAGGCAAGTTTCCTTTCTGCATACGCCCGTCAGCCCAGTATGTCAGAACCCGGTTGTTAGATGACTGGCGGATCCCTTTCCCGGTAATAATCCCTCCAAAAAGTTCTGTTCACTCAAATCCACGGCTGTTTGTGGGACACTGCTGTGCGCAGTCGGCTGCCGCGTTTCACCCACAAACTGCAGTCAATTCGCTTTACAGTCTATTCTGTGAAGCGCTTTGAGACGTCTCGACCACGTGATGATGCGCGAGAGTGGAAGGAAACCAAGTGCAAAGATTATTATTATTATTATTATTATTGAGCATCATTTGAGATCGGGAACTCTATAAAGTCCCGATGTGGAACCAGAAACCTTCTCAGAAGAAAATATTACCAACTGAGCCCAGCTGTCACGTGATGGTGACATGATGCTCCCCGGGGACGTGATGACGTCCTGCACAACAACGTGATAAAGTTCCCCACAACCCCCCCGTGACGCGATGACGTCATCCACAACAAACCCCGTGACGTGATGACGTACATCACAACAACACCCGTGATGTGATGACGTTCTCCGATGCGGCTGCTCGCCGTGCCTGAAGCGCATGCGCGGTTGGATTGATGTCGTGGCCGAGAGCGAGAGCGAGCGGCGGGGGGGCGGGGCTGAGCCGAGGCCCTGACACCACCGCACACACAACCCGCACAATGAGGCGCGCGGGGCTCGGTAAGTGCTTCACAAACACCCGACACAGAGCAGCGGTAACATGGCCGCAGGTCCGCGTGTCATCACCGGGGGGTCAGTGACTGTCACACGGACTGTAGCCGCGTCAGCAACTCCCGACTGTGACTGTCACTAACCATCACCACCAGTGACTGTCACTAACCACCACCACCAGTGACTGTCACTAACCACCACCACCAGTGACTGTCACTAACCACCACCACCAGTGACTGTCACTAACCACCACCACCAGTGACTGTCACTAACCATCACCATCAGTGACTGTCACTAACCACCACCATCAGTGACTGTCACTAACCACCACCACCAGTGACTGTCACTAACCATCACCACCAGTGACTGTCACTAACCACCACCACCAGTGACTGTCACTAACCATCACCACCAGTGACTGTCACTAACCATCACCACCAGTGACTGTCACTAACCATCACCATCAGTGACTGTCACTAACCATCACCACCAGTGACTGTCACTAACCATCACCACCAGTGACTGTCACTAACCACCACCACCAGTGACTGTCACTAACCATCACCACCAGTGACTGTCACTAACCACCACCACCAGTGACTGTCACTAACCACCACCACCAGTGACTGTCACTAACCATCACCATCAGTGACTATGACTAACCATCACCATCAGTGACTGTGACTAACTACGAGGCTCAGTGACTGTAACTAGCTACCATCGTCAGTGACTGTACCACCATCAGTGACTGTGACTAACTACCAGCTTCAGTGACTGTACCAACATCGGTGACTAACTGTACCAGCATCGGTGACTACCAGTGACTGTGACTGTACCGCATACATATTACATTTGTATAGCACCTTTCACGTCAGGACGACGTTCCAATGTGTTGGACTGTCAGAGTTTCAGACCCGAGTTGGGGGTCGGGATTGGGAGGGTAGAGACGTCTCTATGTTGACCAACCGAGACAATTAAACAAATTCAATTTGAAGAATGAGTGCCACCGTTAATAATAACAATAATCCTTGTATTTGACACAGCGCCTTATCACATTGTTGAGACGTCTCAGAGCACGGATATACTGTGAAGTGGATTGCCTGTGTATTTCTGAGTGAAATGCGTCAGCCATGTTTCACAAACAGCCCTGAAGTGAATAACCAATTTGTTTTATTTGAGGGATTCTTGGTCAGGCACTGGAGAGAAACCCCTTTCTAGTAATAATAATAATAATCCTTGCATTTGATATAGCGCTTTTCACGTCGGGAGGACTTCCCAAAGCGCTTCACAGAACACACTGTAAAGTGAATTGACTATATTTGTGGGCGAACGCGGCAGCCAATTGCGCACAGCAATGTCCCACAAACAGTCGTAGATTGAAAATGACCAATTTATTACTGTTTTGGGTTTTGGAGGGATTATTATTAGGCTCTGTGTGGAGTAAGGAAACTTGCCCAAGGTTTCGCCCTCTGCCTGGAATTGAACTCAGGTCTCTCACTTGCAAAGCGAGTGCTCTAACCAATGAGCTACAGGACTCCATAGGAGTCATAGGATCTTTAACGTGCACCTGAATAGGCAGACGGGACCTCGTTTTAATACCTCATTCAAAGGATGGCACCTCCAACAATGCAACCCCACCACCCCCCGGCACTGCATTGGAGTGTCATCTTCGTTTATGTGATTCCAAGTCTTGATGTGGAGTTTGAATCCACAACCTTCTGACTCAGAGGCGAACTTGTTACCACTGAGCCAGGCTGACACACACCTGTTTCATAGGAAGCAGTGGTTTGATATCTGATGACAGTCATGTTATATCGTTCCTATACATTGATTGCTATAAGGAAAAACAGTAAACTACAGGTGTACTGGGAGAAGGCATGTAAAGGATTCGAATGGTCATCTTCTGTCCTGTCACTTTCTATAGTTCTACACCTGAGAATTCCTGTGAAGACTCATACCCTTTTGGCTTTTGGACAGCAACCAAAACAATATGAGGCTTTGCAGGAATTCTGCAGAAGATACTGCATAAAAGCTGAACATATTGTCAAATATCATGAATGATGGGGGTAATATAACAGAGGTGGGATATTAAAAGCAAAGCTCAGCATATAACATCAGCTTCAGCATTGTTTATAGAAAATAATGATCTTCGCATTTGGTGCAGTGCATTTCATGTCGGTAGGACATCTCATACCTTTTCACAGGATTCACTGTAAAGTGTAGTGACTGTGTGTTTTATAGGCAAAGGAAGCAGGCAATTTGCACGCAGCAGTATCCCACAAACTGCCAATAGCCATGGAGGATTGTTGGCCAGGACATTGGGAGGAATTCTCTTCTCTTTGAGATTTTTATTGTTATGAACCTGGAATTGCCCATCTTGGGAAACCACAATTTATAGAGGAATTTGTGGAGTCCGATAGATCCATTTTGGCCCCCAGGTGCCTCTGAAATGTTGTCGTCTCATAATGTGAATTGAATCTTTCAAGGCCATTAGCAGTCCCTGATAATAGGATCCAGCGAAGGACACAAACCTCTGTGAGGGCAGAATAGGCAAATTCTGTTTGACTGCCTTTGGTCAACACCCGTAAATTCTCCTCCTTCCCTGCTTTGCTTGGGGATCTTCATCTTTGTGAATGTCTTCGAGACGGTCATCTAAATTGTAAGAGTATGGGGACAGTTACCAAATGTGTCATCAAAGGTTTTTTCAGCAGAGTTTTGGAAGACGAGGAGAGTGTGCAAGATGGAATTCTGCAGAGCAGAGGCATATCAACTGAAAGCTCAGGTGCTGACAGTGGGTTGGATGGTGTGGGAGGGGTACAAGATGCTAAATGCAAGTTCTTTGAAGTGATAATTTCTATCACTTGTTGGCATAAACCTATTTTGAAAAGAACAATTAGTGACGTACTGAAACGAAACGTTGGACAAGTTTCCTTACTCCACATGGCTGTGTTTACCTAGCAGTAAGTAGGAACCTGGTTGTTTGTCGATTGGCAGATTGCTTTTACAGGGGTAATAATGACTTTCAAATAATTTTTAAAATAATTGGTTACTTCAATCCATGACTGTTTGTGGGACACTGCTGTGCGCAATTGGCTGCTGTGTTTCGCCCACAAAATATGCAGTCAATTCACTTTACAGTATATTCCCTGAAGCGCTTTGAGACATCTCGAAGACGTGATAAAGCGCTGTATCAAATGCAAGGATTATTATTATTATAACTGAAGTGTACTAAGACCATAAACATGTCCACAGAAATGGTGAATTTTCATTGTTGGGAGTAATATTTATATTTATGCACTGCAGAAAATCAACTGCTTGATGTATTCAGACACTATTAAAAATGACTGCTGATTTGGAAAGAAAGATATAAGACAAAATTACACTGTGCCAAGAATTACCACATATTCACCAAGTAACTTTATTTCCCTCCTCCAAGGGGATGGCGCCACTACATATACCCCTGGCAGTGGGTATAGTGTTTATGAAGAGGAAAATGAAAAGTTAACAGAGGGACTTCGTGAGAAAGTAACTGCATTAAAATCGGTGAGTTCATCTATTTGTTACAGGTTTAAGTAATTTACATTGGATTAAAGTATTGATACTGTTCAGCAGTTAAGTGATAACTGTCCGCTCCTCCACTCAGTGGACTCTGTTCTGCTCCACGTTCCCCGCTCTGCCTGCCCCACCATCGGCGGTAGGCCCTTCAACCTTTCTAGCCCCATCCTTTGGAACTCCATCCCACAGTCCCTTCATCTCGCTTCCTAACTTGCCTCTTTCAAGCCCTGTCTCAAGACCCTTCTCTCCAACCGCACTTTCAGTCACCCTCCTCCTCCTACCCTCCCTTCCTTCATTCCTCCTGATCCCAACCCCTAGCTTGGGAGCAAATCCTTGACTGTCCAGAGCCTTGGGATGTCCTCGCTGAAAGGTGCATTGTTTCTAACAAAATTACTATGATCAAGAAGGATGGTTGAGGCAGGACACTGGGCTCATTTAAGAAACAACTTAATGCTATTCATGGAAGACAGTTGCATTAACTGGAAGGATGAGATGATATATCATTCATATCTATGTTGGGATAATGCCCCATTATAATGCAATTGTCAGGATCTTTAAAATATGAGACTGTGTTAAAATGGGTCATTCATAACAGGACCGCTCGCAATTAATTTATGAGGTTGCTTGGGTCACTGTTGATGTTCCCAAGCCCTCTGCACTATGTGCACAAAGCTGGTAGACAGTGGTGATGACTCTTTGCAAAGTAGCAAGCCTATATGCCACAGCTCCACTGTCATATCGCGTTAAATTCAAACCCGCAATATACTAACGTGTGCGAGAGCAAGTCTGCATATTCAGCAAGATCTTTTATCTGAAATAAAGGGAAGTTAATTTGGATACATTCTATTATCAGTTGAATCAGTTGTTTCAGTGTTGTACAGTTGAGATAATAGTTTGATGTTGCTGGTAAGTAGGTTTTCTGCAATATCACAGCAACACAATCTTACATTTAGATTCTAAGTTAGAGTTCTAATTGGAAGCCAGAAGTGGCTGTGCAATATAAATAATAATAATCCTTGCTTTTTATATAGCGCTTTTCACATCTTCGAGATGACTCAAAGCACTTCACAGAATATACTGTAACGTGAATTGACTGTATATTTTGTGGACAGTCAATTGCACACAGCAGTGTCCCACAAACAGTCTTGGATTGAAGTGACCAATTTATTATTTTTTTTTTGAAGGAATTATTACCCCCGGAAAAGCGATCCACCAATCGACTAATTTGATTAAGGGTTCCTACTTACTGCCAGGTAAACAGGCGTGTGGAGTAAGGAACCTTGCCCAAGATTTTACCCTGCCGGGAATCTAACCACTGAGTTACAGCACTCCACAATTCATGTAAATTATAATAATAATAATCCTTGCATTTGATATAGCGCTTTTCACGTCGGGAGGACGTCCCAAAGCGCTTCACAGAACACACTGTAAAGTGAATTGACTGTATATTTGTGGGCGAACGCGGCAGCCAATTGCGCACAGCAATGTCCCACAAACAGTCATGGTTTGAAAGTGACCAATTTATTATTGTTTTTATTTTTTTTTGGAGGGATTATTATTAGGCTCTGTGTGGAGTAAGGAAACTTGCCCAAGGTTTCGCCCTCTGCCTGGAATTGAACCCACGTGTCTCGCTTGCAAAGCGAGTGCTCTAACCACTGAGCTACAGGACTCCACAATTGTGTCCACCCAGAGCACCCGAATCGGAAGAAAGGAACTGAGCAACATTGTATTACTAATAATTTGATATTTTCTCACTTTTTCTCATTTTTTCTGCAGCTTTCAATTGATATTGGAACTGAAGTTAAATACCACAATAAAATGATAAATGAGATGGTATGTATTGAACATTCACACAAGTTTTCAATGAGTAACACTCAGATATTGCATTTTTATTTTATTTTATCCGAAAAGAATTGGGCGAGGCCATGGAACACGTTTAAATGTGAAATACCCAAATACAGAAACAATGCTGAAACTATGGTGTTGATTTTTAATGATAATTGGAAGTTGTTGTGAGACATTAAAACTGCAGCATTCAGTAATAATCATTTTCCACCAGCAATACTGTTTTAGAAAATGTTAAGCAACAGTTTTTGTAAAGTCAGATGAGCTGGGCTGGCGAATATGTCATCAGCAGTACCCTGTGGACCTGCCTGGCTCAGGATTATCTGATTACCAAGACTGTCCTAGAGAATTGAGTTGACTTCTGGCATCTCATTGCCAAGCATGTTGTTTTGAAGCGAGCTCAGCTCTCCAAGGAGATCCACTTACTCTCCACGTACTCATTTCAGAGTACAGCTGATTAAAGCAGCTTACTTTACAGCATATTCTGTGAAGCGCTTTGAGACGTCTAGAAGACGCGAAAAATGCTATATCAAATGCAAGGATTATTATTATTATTGTCAGTAAAATATAAACCAAAGTTTCAGTTTGAAAGGCTCCAGTACATGGTATAGCTATTGATTGGTTTCATTGTTTCTGCCTAATAAGAGATTTCTCACATGGTGCTGGTAACTGTAATGGAGGGTGGACAGCAATACTGTACGATGCTAACATCAGAAACTGTCAAATTTGCAATATTTCCAAACTGTAATGCAATTTGAAAAACCAGAAAAGAGTGAAACAAGGCCAGAGAGCAAAGTTCTCGGATGGATGGATGAAGATAAATGATAGTGAAAGAATGCAGCACATCAGCCTTCCAGGGATTATGTAATCCAACATTTTTAAATACAACCAGATTGCTATGTAGTGATCATTATTGTGATGCCTTTTGGTGGATGTTGAAGATCACTGCAATGAGACATTGGAATTTGGTTAACATTGAGGGATTCTAGGACATAGAATGAATTACCTACCAAAAATGGTGGTTAAAGCAGAATCCACTATAATAATAATAATCGTTGCATTTGATATAGCGCTTTTCACGTCTTCTAGACATCACAAAGTGCTTCACACAATATACTGTAAAGTGAATTGACTATATTTGTGGGCGAAACGCAGCAGCCTATTGTGCACAGCAGTGTCCCACAGACAGTCATGGATTGAAAATGACCAATTTATTATTGTTTTGTTTTGGAGGGATTATTATTAGGCTCTGTGTGGAGTAAGGAAACTTGCCCAAGGTTTCGCGCTGCCTGGAATTGAACTTGGGTGTCTCGCTTGCAAGGCGAGTGCTCTAACCACTGAGCTGCAGGACTCCACAATTCTCCAGATGTTGTCTTTCCAAAGTTTATAGCTCTAAAAGGGAATTAGACAAATGTTTAAAAAATAAAAATATAAAATCATGTGGGGAAAACGCAAGGGAGTGGAACTAACAAGCTTTTTCAGAGTCTCGGCACAAACATGATGGGCCAGTTGGTCTTCTGTAGGCAGACTTGATTATGGTTAGAGCTTCCTTTGCACTTGTTAATGACACTTTCAGAGGCATTGCCAAAGGCCTCCCTTGCCCTCCACCCTTCTGTAAAATTCTTACTTATTCTTATTTACCGTAAAATTCTTATTTATGCAACAGTTTGATTCTCAGTGAGGTGGAATTTACTGAGTAAATTCTAAGAAGTTTTCTTACCATGGGCAGTGGAGCTGATGAACACTGACTTGAAAGGAAGACAGATGAGGAAACCTACTGTTTATATGATTGAAAAAACTTAACAGCCCAGAATATATGCACAAACTAACCAAACACAATAATATAAGTTGTTAAGATCAAATATTACTCCAACAATTAAAGGAAGTTAGAAGTGCTGCAGAATAAAAAAANCAACAGCAATAAAGGTTGTGCTGGTTAAAAAAGATTTATAGTGAACTGGAAGATAAATGATGATGGGAATTGTGTGTGAATTTGATTAAAAATATTTGGCAAAATGTTTCAGATAGGAGGTTTTAGAACAGATGAGGCGGTTGGTAAATGGGTTTATTTTATTCCAAACATATTAAATAATAATAATGGATTTTGTGATTTGCCTCATATACTAAGCTGATTGGTGTTGTTTGTCTTCGAGACTTGCTATAAACTTATCCCAGCACAATGCTGGAGATGTGCTGTTTTGTTGGGATTGCCATCTTTCAGATGAAAGGTTAAACTGGGTCCCATGTCTTTGTTCAGCTGGATGTAATATATATAATATAGCTATACAAATACAATTTTGTTGTTGTTGTTAAAGATCCCATGGCACTATTCATAAAGAGAGGAGTTTCTCCCAGTGCCGTGGGCAAGAGTCCCCCTAAATAAAATTGGTAATTCACTTCTTGCTGTTTGTGCAAACTGCTGTGAACAATTGATGCCACATTTGCTCACAAGGTGCATAGTCAGTCCGCTTTACAATAAATCTGGTGAGGTGTGAGACATGACCTCCTAACGTGACCTCCTATACTAAAAGTAAGGACTATTATTTTATTTAAAAAGTATCCCATTAACATCAAGGCAATGAAGTACCTCATTGTACTAAAATACCCGGTCATCTTGAGATGGCAAGTTTAATATGCTATGTTAGAGTAACATTTGGTTGGATTACTTCACCAAGAATCAATATTGTGCTTTCACAGGATACGGACTTTGACTCCACAGGTGGACTGCTAGGTGCAACAATGGGTAGACTCAAGCACATATCCCGTGGGAGTCAAACAAGAATGATATGCTACATGATGTTGTTTGCATTTTTTGTATTTTTTGTACTTTACTGGATTATTAAACTGAGGTGAAATAAATTTGTGCCACTCCAGTATTCACGTATTACACCTTACATACAGTGAACTAACGCTCTTCTGGGACTGGATAAATTTTGGTTATAATAAATCTTTTAAAGATTTTTTTAACAAATGAGGGTGCTGCCTCACCCTCATGTTGCAGACTACATTGTGATCATCTCTGCATTCTCTCAGTGATTTCTGATTCGGTTAATGTTTCATGTTCATGTTTGCATATTAGGAAAAAATTGTAGCTATGGTATTTCTAATATTTGACCTAAGTGAAATTCTGCTTCTTCCCTTACAATTGCAAATGTTGTGTAAAACCTGATCATTTCCTAATCTACATGCATGCCGAGTTGTGAGTCTAATCTCTCCAACCTTGGGACGTCCTCCCAACTTGAAAGGCGCTATACAAATGTAATTTTGTATTGTATTAAGTGTTTTGTCTCAACTGTACAGACATCGGATTTGGGAATATTCTATTGTTGCAGCAAAAAGCAGTGTGTCACAGAATTGAAAGAGATAGGCTCAACCAATAACTGAAGATGTCTAGCCACATCTTTCTAAGGTTCTGCGGAGCATCCAAGTGGAGATTAGTTTATTTCCTACAGATTTGAATTGCTGGGCAACTTCTTAGCTCATTTACATTTCTTGAATAATTCCTAAAGATAATGGAAAATATATGTACTCAGAAAGGTAAAGTTTCTATATCCCAAATAACAGCCACAACACTTTCTGCTTTTTACTGAAAGAAAACAATTCCTCTTTTTACTTGTTTGCTTCCTTGCATTAACCATTGGCTGAGAGGGAGCTCAGCTGATTTTCACCCCACCCTCAAGCAGCTGGAAGGTGTATAAGAGCAGCCGGGATATGACTGCAGTACTTTGTGGACTCGTCTGCTTCCTGTTATTCAGTGTCAGAAACTCAGCAAGTGATGCAGTCCATTGATATTCCGAACACTGCACCAGTGTTTTGCCATTAAAAGGGATGCCTTAAAAGAGGATTGTCGTACCTCGATACTGTAAAATAGACTAGGTTTAAGTTCACAAGATGAACAAAGAGGCAGCTTGATTATAGTTAGAGTTCCCTTTGGACTTGTTAATGACTTTAAGAGGCATTGCCAAAGGCCCCCCCACCCCCCTTGCTCTCCACCCTTCTTGATTCCAACCCCCAGCTTGGGTGTAAGCCCTTGACTGTCCAGCACCTTGGACATATTCCAGAGTGAAAGGTGCAAAATAAATGCAATTTGTTGTTGTCTGGTAGCAGGGACTTGAGACCTAAAGCTGCTACATTTGCTAACAATTAGTCACTCCACTTAACAGTAACTGAATTGCTTTGAGATGTTTCAATGTAATAAAATGCTATATCAAATACAAGTTTATAATTATAATGTGAAAAACAAATGAAGGGAGCTACTATAGGTTAAGATGGCATACTGTCTCTTTCGATGAACTTATGATTTGTGTAGACATTTGCTTTTCTACCAATTGTACATTCCATCATGCAACACAACTTTATGTTGAAGGTTGCTTTGGCAGATCCTGAAATTCGGTATTTTGGGGACTATGGTCTGTTTTCAGAATTCCTCCCTGAATTATCAGTGGGTCCAACAGCAGTGAAAGGCGATTGGAACGTGTTTTGGAGTTGGAGCTATACAGAAAATGGTTACAGCACCTATCAACTCCATCATGAGGGCATTCTGATTCAATGTCTCTGTGTTTTTGATGAATAATGTAATACACTATTACAAAGTCTCTGGAACTTACTCAAGCTTCCCACCGAACCCACCCCCCCCCCCCCCCCACTATCTTTAAAAGCCGAATAAAATCTAACACTTCGACAGTACCTAGGGTCACCTCTCCTGATCAGTGTCCGTCATCATCTTTGTAAAGCACTTCAAAACGTTACCCAAAGGTGCTACATAAAGGCAAATTGTTATGTGAGAGATATTCTGTTAAAAAAATACGTGGGTGGATGCAATCTGCCATGATGGAATCTGAATGGCTGTTAGCACCAACCAAGCAGTAAGTTCAGGAACTGAAGTGATTCACAAACTCTCTGCCATGGTTCTTGCTTTGATATGATCCAGAGATGACAAATTTACTAACTGAACGTTCTGGGGAAAATGTTATGAATAACAATTTTATCTGGTACTTCAGAGTTTGAAGCCTGAGATAAAGAACTGACTAGAACTGACTTCTTGGATGTAGGTTTGTATCCATCCCAGATTGAATGAATAAAAATGTTGTCTCCGATTTCTACATGGAAGTAGTTTTAACCCAGTCTCTAGTGGGAGTACAAACTTCTTACAATTCCATTCTGTACTTGCCAAGTCTTACTCGAGAGATTATAAACCGCCATTGGAAGGTCTTTATATTTCAAAATTTCTATCAAAAAAGTTTCCTAAACATGTAAAAATTCAGGTCTGCCAAAAGCATGATATCAAGGTGAAATGTCTCTTTTCCATCAATAGAATGAAAGTGGTTGTATTTTTAAAAAAGTGCCTGAGGAATTATTGTTGCATAATTAAATACAGTATGATGTGTTTTCTTTGTCAGAATATGTGTAATAATGTAAAATTAAATGTTTGCAATAAAAAATTCCACGTGTCCTGCACATTGAACAGTAATTAAGAGTTTCATCCAGATATTAGCTTGTAGCTATACAGCAATAAGTATAGATTCAGGTTCATTCTCAACTATCATACATATACCAAATCATAGAAAATTGTATTTTGTACATCTAAACCTTATTCTATTTGTCAAATAAAATGTTAGGCATAAACAGCCACTTTTCTGATCTGGTGGTGACAGATTATAACAACTTCATGACTCCACAGTGTACCTTGCAAGGAATTACTATCACAGTGAATATATTTTTGAACAAAACCTGGGTTTAGAGGTGATAAAAAGAAACATTGTGAAGCTAAAATAAAAACTAAAATATATTAAAGTACAGAAATGTACACGTCAATCAGCATTTAAGAGATTAACATTTTTCAGTACAACCCTTCATTAAAACTGAAGGCCCTTTCTATAGGAACACTGCATACTCTCTATTCCAGTCGAAGGAAGCAAATCCCTGCCAAATTCCTTGAGAGCCAACAGTTTCAGAAGTGTACAAGATGTCCTTGTGAGATCTCTGCATACTTATTAGTACTGTCTAACCTTTTTCATCTTTTGCAATAATAAACGGCGTAGGTGAAGATGGAAAATAAGTATAAAAAAGTGGCAGAAGATCTATAGATGACTACCAGTGCTGTTTTGGTAGGAATATTTAATGTGGGGGCATCAGATTCAATCTGATTCGATATTCACGTGTTTATGGAACTTTCTTTGCTAACTCCTGTAAGAGGTGTGGATATTTGTCATTTCCAATTATGTAACTGACATTCAAGGATCATTTTTCTGATACATAGCCAGTAGCCAGACTGGTATTGTCTGAGCAATAATAGTATCCTAATGAAATGCCAATTGCACTACAGGCATTGTTCAAAGTGGTAACTAGCAGTGGTGTGAGCTAGAAGACTAGAGTTTTACTGTTAATTCCATTTTTTTTGGTATTCAGTAGAAAGAAAGCAGGGATCATCACTTACACACTTACGCAGAACTCTGCTAAGCAGCACCAAATTCTGATAATTTTTTATTAGACAATCAGGTATTCAGACTCATACACCTGCAGTCCTGAAATCCTTTTCATGCAGCTTATTTGAGTTGAGCAGCTGGGAAATGAATATTGGACAGGTGAGATCAGGACAGAGATAACTTTGTGAAAGGCATATTAAATTAGCACAAACTGCAGCGATGCTGGGTCATAAATTTGAGCTTCAGAATCTGTTCATCATTTATTAATTCCTGTAATCTAATCATAGAACAAATATTACTGTTCAGAAAGAGAAGTAGGCGTGCTCTTAAACAGTCAAACACTTCAGTGACTTATTTTTAGTGGCTGACCGTGAACTAATACTGGATTTGAAATGTGGGATGTTATCCTTATCTTACTCTTCTCTTATCTAAACCACTAAAATAATCTGTATTCTAGATTGAAGTGCTCCTCTTTTGTTTTTAATGGGTGATGTGTTCTATTGAACAAAGTGACTTATTGATAAATTGTTCCACTTAGATTTAGATTCTTATTTCCAAAACAATGATTCATCAATGAGACTAGATAAAGGTTTGTTGTAATATACCCACAACCTGTGAAACATTTAGAAGCTTCCTGGCAAGACAGGTTTGTGCAAACAAAATATATTAAAACCACTGTTGAGTTTTGCTAGTTGCTGTTGGTAACATATTAACATTTGGATCAACCTTGGGAAAATGTAGTGCTTTTATATTGGCTGCTTTTCTTGGCAGTCACAAATAAATTTTTGGTATACATTTGGTTCAATGATTCCATCAGGGTCAAGGTTGCCCTTGCAAAACCTATCCTGTTATTTATGAAGTCTTATTAGAGATTTTCATCCATTCAAATGACATGAACCAATGCATTGCCAAAACTACTTTGAGGTGGTCTAGGCATCTACCCTCCGAGGCAATTTAGTCTCAGATCACACTGCACATTCTAGATTTGTACAATGCTTTTCATGGTCGTTTGCAGTGATTCTCAACAAGGAAAATGAATAGAATCTGTTCATTTAACTTCTTCTCAAAATCTGTTTTCTTGATATAGTTGTTAGTCAAAAGATGGAGCAATTGACAGCCAAAGCATATATTAATGTCCTATTGTTGAATTAGTACAACTATGGATTTCTTTTAGTAAGCCAGGTATCTGACACGTGGAAACCCATCACCATGCTTAAGAGTATCCAAACCAAACAAGTTCCATGCATCCTACCTAGACGTGGAAATTTCAAAAATATTAGTTGGAATGGAATGTGCACTCTCCCCCTGGAAAGACACACCCTGTTCATCTAATTCCAGAAAGTGTTAGGTGCAGGTTGGCATAAGCCAAGGCTTGTGGACCCCAGATTGTGTGTTGGGGTGCTGCTGGAGTCTAACCAGCTAAAACTGCATAGCACTGCCTGGCAAGCTTTCCTGTTGCTTGTCCAGCGAGGAGCACCAAACCCATTAATGGGAGCTAAGCGGGAACTGCCTCCAGTGACTGGTCGGCTCTTCCAAACCTCGATGAGCCAGGCTGCCTGTGCTGTCATCAGCAGTGCCCTGGAATACTGCAGACCCACCTGGCTCAGGATCCTGACTGCTGAGATCACCACAGAGGGTGGGTTCGATTCTGACATTCTGTTGCCAAACATGGCACCTTGGAGCCAGTTCACTTCCAAGGAGACCCTGCAGTTTATAAAAATAGAAGACTCAGGATTATGACAGCTGTGAGATTAGTCACAAAAAGCCTTTTCTAAAAATAACAATTGAGGGAGAGTAACTCCATTTTTCATTCCAATCTCCTGATTTTGTAACAGTCTGTTTCTAAGAAACCAATGCACAGGTTTATGAGCTGAAACTGCTCGAGTGAAAAATCATCACTGAAAATTTCCAAATGAGTAAATAATGATTAAGTACAACAGACATGGTTGGGGGAATAAAATCATAATTTAATTATATTTTACAATACACATTACAGAAATACATTGATCCTGAAATTTGCCTAATAAGGCACTGTTACACATAGCTCTGGTGCACGCTCGTGCGGCCGGTAGATGGCATTTCAAAGTTAGTCTGAGACGACTCTTGAGGCATTGGACTGTGCTACATGATGACAGTTCAGGAGGTGGGATTAGCAAATTACTCGGCACTGATTTATAAGGAACGTAGATACATGACCATTTCACTAAAGTCTAAACATATTTAGGCGATTTATGGAAAATGTCATTGTAATGAAGAGTAAAATTATACATAAATTCCCAGCAGGGTTAAATGGAATAGACTTACTGAAAGATTTAGTGCACTTTGCCATTTTACTGTTCAACAACAATGTGCACAGGCACTTAATTATAACATAGACCTCTTAAGAGATCCCTTCACTACCCACCTTATTCTTTTCTCTATAGATGATTATACACTTGGAAGCAGATAACACAGCAGAACAAATAGATAATTATAGTATAAAAATTATGTATCTGAATTTTTAGAAAGGCACTACAGGAATATCTATGAAAATTTAAAGAGATACTCTAGGAAACAAATTAGAAAAATAGCTATAGCACCATTTAAAGTATTCGAGTCCACAATATTACAGTAAATCCCTAACTTCATTCACCAAAGTCATTCAACTCCTGGCAATGTAACTGGAAAGAAACTGAATAGCCACCTTCAAAATGTGCCATTCCCATTGCTCTCATTGAACTGTTTTCTCTTTTCCATTGGAAACCAAAGCCATGCTCTTCCCTTATACCTTCAGGTCATGTTGTTTAGTATCGTAGCTGATACCAACTGATGTAAACACCAACACTTTGGCAATGAACATGTCAGCCTAGGTTCAAGCTTTAGTTTGCATTTACTTCTGAATAATAATTTTTAATAAGAAACACATTACCTGGGCGGAAGGTATTTAAAGAAGATACAAGGTTCGGAATTTATATTAAATCCAATTAACTAATACTAGTTGTGAACAACACTGATTAAAACAAGTATGGCAATTAATCAAAAGTGTTTGTAAAATGTGTTTAGGATGTTACACAAACTAACAACTTATTTCAAGTCTGATGATAGTATCTCTTCCCCCAAGATGATAATTCACATAGTATGGCTCAGAAAAACACATTGCATTACGTTGCTTATTTTGTGTACATTAATATCTTCTAAATGTGTCCTAAAATCAAACATCCCAAATAAAACACCAATACCAATTATTGCCAATACTTTCTTCTGGACCTTTGTATCAATCATTTTGATTCAGGAATGGTCCCCATATACTTGCATATGATAGACAGCATAACTTCATCAGTGCCAGCTCCTATTGACATCAGCCTCATATCTCTGGAGGAATGGAATAAAGAGAAAGGAAAAGACATTCATCAATCTAAACAAAACATTTTAAAACATCTTAAAGTGTTAAGTACTGAAACTCTTTATGTAGGCAAGCGAGGCCGCTATGGTTTGCTTACAGGAAGGCCCTACAAACAGCCTTGAGGTGAATGACAAACACACCTGGAGGACTGCTAGCCAGGACACTGAGAGAAACTCACTTTTCTTTAACAATGGTATTAAGTGATCTTCAATGTCTATATGAAGATCAAGCAGTTGGGACCTTAGTTTAAGTGAAGGGCATTTCCACTGCCATCACAGCACTCCCTAGACCCCTATAACATCAGGCTAGACTGTAAGGTAAAAAATATACAAATGCTGATTTTCTAGATGCATTTTAGAATGTACCTGCATTTCCAGATCACTTTCGTACAAACATTCAATTATGTTTAATTAGTTCATATATCTATAGGTAAATGCAGCAGCCATCTCACACACTGCAGGGTCCCACTATACTAATCATTGATGATTGACCATTGAATCTCAGTGAATACTTCAATCTACACTATTTCAGCCAAATTGTTGAAGAAATCAATAGACTTCTTTCTTATATCTTGCCTACACTGAATAAATAGAAAGATTTTTTTTCTGGAAAGGAATAGGACAACATGCAATGGGTTAGCCATGGTTAGGGCAGGGCACACAGAACAAGCATGAGTTATCCCAGCAGAGGAGGTGAAAAGGGGAGTGGGGCAGGCGTTCAGACAGATAATGAGGTGCCAGGGTGTGAAGGGATTTATAGATGAGGATAAGACTGATGTGAAGGAAAAAGGAGAGCTGAGGATCAAACCTGATAGCTAAACTTGAACACTGGTTTAGTGAGTTTGAAAGAGAGGTCAATTTATTATATTCAATGATGATGGTGAGCCCAGTTTATTCCATCCACCTACATCAATACCCCTATTAAAATCAATCCTCCTCATTTTAATTATTTAATAACACCGCTGAAATATCAATTAAGTTTTACTTTTTTTTAAAAGGAACAAAATTGAAAATCAAAGCAAGATGAATGGGATTAATTAGATTTTTTAATAGCATTTCATTATGAACATTTTAGAATTGGGTCTTATTTTATTTTGCAATTTCCCTTTTGTCAGGCTTCCTCTGGGCCATATGTGTGGATGTGTACATGTATATCACATCAGAGGGAGAGACTTCAAACATATCAGTCTAATTAATTTTAGTGTTCCAGCTTTTTTTAACGTTAATGTTTATCTGTAAATTGGTTTAAGTACCATCAATAAAATCTTAAGCATTCTCCTTATGAGTAATTTTGTCTCATTTCCAATCATCTGAAGATTCTTTCTCTGACAGGAAATTACTTAGGTCTCATAGAAGATTATTAAGACCTGGATGAATGTAATTTCCAGTCAAATTTTTCAATGGCTGGAAATTATTTTCTGTCAACAGACGTGAAATTGAGACATGAAAGATATCAGCCCCATTCAAGACTTTATTTCCTCTCAGATTTCACGTCTCTTCTTGACTTTGATACTGCATGTGAGATCCTTCTGTAGATCTCTGCAAACAACAGCTCAGGCCAGTTACTAAAAGGGTACTATAAAGGCTTCTAAGATAGTGAGATTTCCATAAGGATGGGCATATCTCAGCTGCCTCTGGAGTGATTCTCTGGAGCTCTATTCAGAAGCCGACTTTTTGGATGTAGGATCAGGAATTGATATCCAAAGAGAGTTCCAGAGCGATGGTCACGACAAGGGTTCGTTATCTACAAATTCTTTTAAAAACTGCACTGTAGACTCTGCAGTGAATTGATTTACTCTCCATTTTCAATTCCTTTGTCTGCAGAAGTGCCTGCTTTAAGCATGACAAGTCCTCCTGACACACAACTAAGATCAGCAATTTGTCAAACAAGGAACAGTGAGATCAAACCCATTTTGTACATCTGCAATTCCCTGAATTGTTCTGTTTAATAATATCAAATTAATGAATGCTATGTTTCTTGTTATTTATTTTTAGGCACCTGCTCTCTTTATTTCTGCGCCTCTTTGTTAGAAAGTATTAGTAAACCAAGCAAACACTCCACAGTGGCTTGAATTCATGATATAATAATAAAATAATGATAGTAATCTGTGTATCTGATATAGCACCTATAAAACTGAGAACATCTCAAAGCACTTCACAAACTTTCTGTTAACAACAAGTAACATTTATACAACGCATTTTCAAATTGGGAGGAGGTCTCAAAGTTCTTCATACAACTGACTAGTCCCCAGGCCAAGCTGGGGGAAGTGGAAGCAGGGAGAGAGCAAGGTGGGGGGACTCTTGAGATGCCCAGATGGACTTCAAGGTTGAACAAGACACAAAGGATCCGCACTGGTTCTGTGAGGTGTAGTTAGCATCTGTACAGATCGATACAGTCAATGCACTGAGGTGAGAGCCAAACAAGAGCATCTATCTTTTTTTATTTAGCTGTAATGGCATTTAGCTGTAATATGTAGTAGCTGTGCATTTTTAATAATAATAATAATACTTCCATTTGATATAGCGCCTTATCACGTCTTCGAGACATCCCAAAGCGCTTCATAGAATATACTGTAAATATGAATTGACTGTATATTTTGTGGGAGAAATGCAGCAGTCAATTGCACACAGCAGTGTCCCACATACAGTTGTGGATTGAATGACCAAATAATTATTTCATTTATTTATTTTTGAAGGGATTATTACCCCTGGAAAAGCATTCCGCTAATCGACTAACTGGGTTCCTATTTACCGCTAGTTGAACAGAGATGTGAGGAGTAATTTTTTGAAGAAACGCAGCAACCTATTATTCACAGCAATATCCCACAAACAGACAATTTTATCTGTGGGATTGTTGGCCAGGAAACCAGGATCTTTAATAAGTAAACAGACAGATGGACTTTGGTTTAATGTCTCATCCAAAGAACAAGTCTGACATGCAGTGCTCCCTCCAGCAATGCACTGGACTATAAGCTTTACGTTGCAATGCAATGCACGAAACTATAATCTTTCTAGCCTAAAGGCAAAAATGCTGCCAACAGGGTCAGGTTGACACCTGTTAACTAAATTGTTTAGGTTTATTTGTTATATACTTTAATTTGAGTTCTAGTACAGAGGATGCATGGCTGCTTAAACAATCAGTAACAAACGTGTTCAGAGGTTCTTATTATTACAGTATTGACAATATTAAGAGGGGTTTAGAGAAGTAAATGATCGTGGTGGGAACATGACAGATAGTGAACAATGTGTTTGGTAAATGAGATTGGACAGATGCCCAGGTGATGCTCTTTTACAGTGCTGTCTGTGGATTCCTATATTCATTTTAGCACAATGACAATTAAATGATCCTAATTGCTTTGAAATGTCACTTAGCATAGGTCAAAGTTTTAATAAAGTTTACCCCTCCATGCCACCGGTTTATGACTAAAACAAAAGTGATAAAGATTAGCTGACTCTTTAAAAAAAGTAAGTATTGCAGCTCACCATCTTAGGAAAGGAGAAAATTGATCTCCAGAAGGTCTAAGCAATATTGACCACTGGTGAGCACTTCCTGACAATCTAGTTTTTCACATGTTTTATGCTCTCTTTTTGTTAGCTTAGCCTTTCAAATGATTTAGAGCCATTGAATCCTTAATCTAGTAGAGGCACATTTGTTCCTTCCCGGCAAGAAAGGATTATTTACTTCCTTTCATTATAGTCACCCAAATCATACGATCTGCAAAAGTAGAAGTCAAATTCTTCAAAAACTCTTTAATATTAATAATAATCCTTGCATTTGATATAGCGCTTTTCACGTCGGGAGGACATCCCAAAGCGCTTCACAGAACACACTGTAAAGTGAATTGACTGTATATTTGTGGGTGAACGCGGCAGCCAATTGCGCACAGCAATGTCCCACAAACAGTCGTAGATTGAAAATGACCAATTTATTATTGTTTTTGGTTTTGGAGGGATTATTATTAGGCTCTGTGTGGAGTAAGGAAACTTGCCCAAGGTTTCGCCCTCTGCCTGGAATTGAACTCAGATCTCTCGCTTGCAAAGCGAGTGCTCTAACCACTGAGCTACAGAACTCCACACTTTTGGCTACAAATCAGTGATATCAATACATTATAGCAGATTTCTAATCTCTTCCTTATACTGAGTTAAACAGGTTTAACTTTGCTTTTGCAATGAATTCCCATTGTTTAAAGAGTGCTTTAACAATTGACATAGTAAGGTAAGATCAATAGTAAGTAGGAACAGGAAGAGGCCATTCAGCCCATCAAGCCTGCTCCATCAGTTTATTAGATCTTGGCAGATCTTTGGATCCCAATGCCCCATCCTTTCTAATATCTCTGCTACCCACGAATATGCCTATCTCACTTTTAAAATCACTAACTATTTCACTTGTCCCTACTGATGCTGCCTTTACAGCTTTCTGGATCAGAGCCAATCTACATCTTCATGTAAGAGATGCTTTGCTTTATCCTTCTAGACACAAAGAAACTAGAGTAGTTAATGAAATAGAGATGGGTACCACAATTTTTCCGAGAGCTTTGGTGGCTATTATGGTTTGGGCTTTCCACGTAAATATGGGCAGCTGAGCAAGCTGAAACATTGCAGTACAGCGAGGAGTACAGTTAGTTTCAGATATGTCAATACTACAGTCTTTGTGAAAGGAAGGAACATTCCTGAGTATATAATCACCTTCCACGGGCAATTAGATCTATTATTTTTGGAGAGCATTGATGTGGATTATTGTACAAATCCCATTCTCAACAAAATTGCACATGCAATGACATAAATGGAATTTAAAAAAAAACTGTGAAGGCACATACAGGATAGTGTGGCTGATACACAAAATTTACTTGTTGAGAAGGGTTAAAAAAAACGTCCGTAACAGCATTATATTGTAAAACATTGAAATGTTATTGCAGTGGTATTTTACAGTAGAATCAACTGACCAGACTAATTAGGACTGGTTCCGATGTGAAAGAAACAAACACGAATAATTCAATACTGTATCATGAAAAATACAATCAATTACAGTGCTAACTAAAAAAGTCTTCCATCCGGAGTTAAATTGTCACTATACAATTTCCAGTTGTATACGCAGTGCCAGGCCTTCTCTGCCACAGCCTCTCTGACTCTGACTCTTTTTCTCGCTCCCTCTGAGCTTCTCTAACTTTCTATCTCCATTTCTCTATAACTATCATCTCATTCTGACTAATCTTACACTGTACAAAACTACAGAGGCTTAGCTTCATGAGATTTGTGGTACTGGCCACAAAGGTAACACAAAAAGATTTACTTTTGGTGTACATGTATAACGTGTGCATTAGGTTACCAGGCTTGTGCAGAACTAAAATCTCACATGCATATGCACAAATGATTTGGACTCATCAACAAGCTTACTGCCCAGACTGCGAAGGTTAGCACACAAAATGCCACAATATTCACCCAATATTTTATCTCTATTGTGTTAATGGATCTGTTAAAACTGTAAGGAATGAAAATAAACTTTGGCCTGACAATACCCCAAAATAAATGTGAATTTTATTTGGCACAACTCTTGAGATAGAATATGGTAAACATTAAATGGTGAAAATTGCATTGAATTATGCTTTATTAACCAGATCTGACAGCTGCTGGTTGCATACTGCAAAAGTCACGGATGAATGTTTAATGAATATCTCAAGTATGTATAACCAAGGGCTATTGAATTCCACTGACTTTTCCCCCAATGATATTTTAGCATGACTTATAAGTTATGACTAAAATTATGAGACAGCAGGATTAAGCTGGATAAAACGTGGTCAAAAGCTGCCCAAACAAAAAAAGCAGAATAAGCCAAGCATTGACAGCTTCTGGGACAGAAAGCTGATTCATGAATGCTAGAAAACCATCTGGGTATACAATCAAGTAATCTAAGATTAGTTAATGTGCTTTCCAGCTGTGTTTAACGAAGATTGGCTGGGATGACACTGATTTTCACGAATTATGAAAGTTACTACATGTAGTAACATCACCAGCTCTTCAGCTGTGCTTGACAACAACAACAACTTGCATTTAATTAGCGGCCCTCACGCAGGGTAGCATCCTAGAGCACTTGACAGAATAAAGGAAAGGCACTGACTAATGTGAATGTCTGAGAAATGCAGAAACCCATCACCATGCCTTAAGAGTATCAAACCCGACTGAGTTCCACGTATGTATACTAACATTTTCTTGACTGTGGAATGGACTGTGCACCCTCTCCCTGGAGGAATGCCCCTGCTTACCTAGCTGTTGTAATTCCAGATAATATTAGGCGCAGGTTGGTGAGAGTCAAGGTTTGGAGACTCAGAGTATACATTGGGATACTGCTACAGTTTAACCAGTTAAAACCCCATTGCTTAGTATTGAAAGCATTCTGTGGCAAACGTCCTGTTTTTTGTCCAGCCAGGCCACTCTACCTGTTATGGCTTTGCACTTGCAAAGTAAACAGGAGTTGAGTTGGGAGAATCCCTGTTATTCAGCTGAGTGTGACAACAACAACTTGCATTTGTATAGCGCCTCTGATTACCACCCATCTCCAATCTCCCTTTCCTTTCCAAGGTGCTGGAATGATTTGTTGCTTCCAAGCTTCGCTCTTTCCTCTCCCGCCACTCCCTCTGTAAACCCCTCCAATCGGGTTTCCTGCCGCCCAGAAACACAGCTCAGAAACAGACCTGGTCAAAGTGACAAATGACATTCTGCCAGCCTGCGACCTCTGCCTCCACATCCTCCTTGACCTCTCTGCTGCTCCTGACACCGTTGACCACTCTATCCTCCTCCACCACCTCTCCTCTCACCTCAACCTTCATGGTTCTGTCCTTTACTAGTTCAGATCCTACCTCTCACACCGTCTCCACTTTATCTCCATAAACGGCTTCCTCTCCAGCCCCTGCACCGTCTTGTGCAGCGATCCCCAGGGCTCTGTCCTTGGTCCCCTCCTCTTCACCATTTACCTGCTTCCTCTTGGTGGCATCATCCGCAGACATGGAGTCAACTTCCACATGTATGCGGATGACACCCACCTCTATCTCTCTGCCTCCACCCTCGACTCCAGGACCACTGCTGTCCTGAAGAATGACTGTCAGGTTTCAAGTCCTGGATGGAAACTAACTTTCTCCAGTTGAACGTCAACAAAACCGATGCTCTCCTGATTGGTTCCCGTCAGCGGCTCCACACTTCAGGCACTGGCAGCATCACTATCCAAGGTTGCACACTCCACCTTGCTAAGCCAGTCCAGAACCTTGGCCTCTTGTTTGACCCTCAACTATTCTTTCTACCCCACATCTGTGCCATGACCAGCTCTGCCTTCCTTCAACTCCGCAACATCGCCCAGCTCCGCCACTGCCTCTCAGGTGCCGAGACCCTCATCCATTAATTCTTCACATCTAGGCTCGACTACGCCAACTCCTTGCTTGTCGGCCTTCCCAACTCTTCCTTCCACATACTGCTGATCATCCAGAACTCTGCAGCTCCTGTCCTCTCCCGCACCAGGCTCCATGACCCCATCACACCCACCCTCGCCCGGCTCCACTGGCTCCCCATCCCCAGAGGATAGAGTTCAAAATCCTCATCCTCGCCTTCAAGGCCCTCCATGCCCTTGCTCCTTCCTACCTCTGTGACCTGCTGATCCCATATCAACATGTCCTCTCCCTCCACTCAGCAGGCTCCGGCCTGGTCCACGTCCCCTGCCCAGCCCACCCCATCATTGGCAGCCGGGCCTTCAGCCTCTCTGCCTCCACCCTTTGAAACTCCGTCCCAGTCCCTTTGCCTCGCTTCCTCCCTTGCCTCCTTCAAGGAACGTCTCAAGACCCTCCTCTTTGACCGTGTCTTCGGCCTCTCTCCTAGCCTCCCTGTCCTCCACTCCACCTGATCCCAACCCTCTGCTCGGGACCAAATCCCTGACTGTCCAGCTCCTTGGGATGTCCTCCCGACGTGAAAGGCGCTATACAAATGTAATTTGTTGTTGTTCTGGTGCTAATGATAATGACAGTGACTTTTGAAAAGTTGCTTAAAATGACTGAATGTTTAGAGAATTTCTTTAAGATAATTTCAAAGAAAAAAGTAAAATTTTTAAATAAACGTATTTGCTTCTTTCCAATGAAAATCAAAAGACACTGCAACAAGAGAATATAATCTTTAACTAGTTAAGTGAAATCAGCGCTCCGAGACGCTACCTGTGTGAAGGGCAAAACACAAATGCAACATGTTGTTGCAAAAATTGTAAGATGTTCTGACTTTGTCTGCTGATTGTTATCCCTAGAGAGAAACACTGAGGTGTTTACAGCATATCACACGGAGGGATTATTACTATCAGAGAATTGACCTTAATTTGTGATAGGAATGCTTTTGCAATTTGCAAATTACACGGTTTGATGAGTTTTGTTTCTTTCCCAAAATCAGTTGAGGTCACATTCAGCTGATCTGTACATCTTGAACTGTTTTGTTTACTCACCTAAACAGCCGACTGACCAGTACCTCATTAGTAAAACCCATTCCTCCCCAGTACTGGAGGCAGCTGTCTGTTACCTCACGAACCAGACGGCCTCCCTTCAACTTCGCCATTGAGGCTAGCTTTGTTACATCATTTCCTTGAATATACTGAGCTGAATGAAGAGAAAACAATGATCAGCATACAACACCACAGTCCACGGTCTAGAAGGTAGAAACATACACACATGGGTGGCTGAGCTGACTTCATAAACCACAAAGGCAAAGCACAATTTTAATCATTTCTTTGATTAGCCAGATATTTGATGCTTGCAAAAGCCATCACCATGCTTAAGAGTATCTAAGCCAGACCAAAAATTCTACAATTATATTATTGTATAATTATTAATTATACAATTATACAGCATCAGTAGGGTAAAATTAGCCTGTCTTTCGACAATTCAATGGGGTTTAAAATGTACCATTCGCTGTGCTAATTATACTGTAATCATGATACTATTGAATGATACTATAATTATCATATAAATATTATACTCTTACCTTGAACTGCCTATCAGTCATTCTATTTTGTTACTGAAATTGTGCTATTCGCTAGCAATTTTTTAAAAAAACACTTGCGACTTTCAGCTTTCTATCGAGCCTGGCATTTTGCATTGGGCTGACCGGCAGCACATAAGTAAAACCTACTTCTCTCCAGCACTGGAGACAGTGGTTAGTCTCCTCACAAAACAGGCAGCTTCACATAAGTGACATTTTGCTTCTGGGTCATTTTTTAGCTGAGAAAATGTCTGAAAAGTCAGTCAGAAGTTTAAACTTTGCCCACTTTTTGGCATTTTTTTGAAAATGCACAACCTATCAAAACGTACGTGAGAATTGGAAAACAAAGCATATGAAAGATGACATGTTAGTATATAGAAACTGAAACTATTATTGTACACACTACAGGTTTCCCCACATTAACCTGCACTATACAAGTAATAGCATTGTTAACCTAGTTCACTTTAAGAATATGGAACATTCGGTTTCCCTTGTATGAGCAGAGATTATAAAGTTAGAACGTGGAGAATTGTGGGCAGTAATTCAATAGCAGATTAGAGTGAGGATCAACATTCAAGGAATGCATACAGATCGATATTCAAAACAACTGAAGATGGATCCAAATTAAAGAGTGACATTTGTGAATATTTTGGCTTGTGCTGTGCATCATATTTCACCTCCTCCCACTTTCCCAATGCCCCCACCACCATTCCAGTTAGTGAAATCAAGGGCTTCTTCCCAGATTGCTGTCGCCACCAGCAGTGGACACTTTTAGAGTGAGCTTGTATGGTACAGGGCATGGGGAGTTAATGAAAGAGAAAAATAGCTAAAAACAAAATCTTGCCTGACAGCACTTAAAGAATGCATGAGATAGGCCAGAAATGTGATGGAACAGTCAAGCAAAAGTTGCAGTAATGTTTGCACCACTACAATAGATTGCTGTGTATCAGCACACCAACTATTCTTGAACGGCCTTTCAACACTAGGATATATAAACTTAAAATTAGTACAAACTGGTTGGAAGTCAGAAGATATTTCTTCACACAGAGAGATGTGAGAATGTGAAATTCACTGCTCCTGGAGGCTGTGTAGGCAGAACCAATTGGGATGTAATAGATCTTTGAAGGGTTTTAAGGGGAATGGAGAAAAGGTGGGGAAAATTTATTAAAAGATCTGCTGTGATCTAATTAACAGGCTTGATGGACTTAATGACCTCCTCCTGATTATTGAGTGTTTCAGTCTATTGAGTGAATCATCTTATAAGGCCGCCAAAACAAAAATGTGCACAAGCTTCCTAGAAACAATTTTTTCACACCGCTTGATTGATCGAAAGCTCGAGGTAAGAATATTTTATGTTATAATTCTAGTACAATTCAATAATTTATTACAGAGGCAGTGTAGGGTTGGAGACAGGGTGAGAGTCAGAGTTAGAAGCAGAGAATGCCAGAAAATCATAGAAGCAGATTCGATAGAAGCTTTCAAAAGGCAATTGGATATGTACTTGAAAAGGAAAAAAATGCAGCGTTATGGGGTTAGAGTGGGGGAGAGGGACTAGTTGGTAGCTCTTTCAAAGAGCTATGGGCCGAATGGCCTCCTTCTGAGCTGTAAGATTCTATGATTCTATGAAGTCACAGAGAAATACAGAATATGAGAGTCAAACAGAGAAAGAAAATGGGAGTCAAACAGAGAGAGAGAGAGAGAGAACATCAAAGCAAAGAATTAGAGAAAGTTAGAAAGAGAGGAAAAAGAGACAGAGAAAAAATGCCTGCCATATTATGGTAGTTTAGTGACAGTATAACTCCTGATGGAAGAAGTTTTTGGTTAGCTCTGTAGCCAATTTTTATTATGTGAATATCTTTATTTCTAAGCACTGACATTATATTTTGATAAGAGATTAACTAGCAAAAATGGCATAACTTGCCATTGCGAACACGGTCTGACAGTGTTTCCGCTGCTTGACCAGCTAGGGCCACCCTACACTTCAGGGCTTTGGCTTGAAGTATTAACCGGAGTCAAGTGGGAAGAATTCTTGCCCCCAGTGACTGGTTTACCCCTCCATGTCCTACCAATGAGCCAGCCAGGTCCAACTCTTATATATTAAACAAATGATTCACTATCCCCTCTATAGTCAATGTCAAAATCATCAGTGCCTCAGTTAAATGAATGAAAATAAAACTAATACTAATGGTTCGAATCTATGAATCCAGTGAGAAAAAACAACAGCGGTCAATATTAAGGCACAATGCCACAAAACTATGCTCACTCTTGCGGGAGCACAAATGTATCTTTCTTTTACTATACCAACTAGTGGCAAATTACTTTTATCTCTTTATAAAGCAGTCACTTTCACCAACAGAAAGGCTGCACATGGTGATGTACAATTGACATAGAGACACTTCATGCTCACTGCTTCCAGGAGAATTAGATATTTGAAGAAACTATCTACTCCCATGTAGTGCAAATGTTTACAGGATAAAAAGTGATTAAAATGATTTAAATTCCATACCAACACAACGATAAAGGAGAGAACGGAGCAGTTCAATCTCAGTCTCAAGTTCAGCAAGACGGAAATGTACTGTCTGGTTGTGTAAGATCGGCTGATTGAATACTTTGCGTTGCCGTGTATATTCAATGGTTTCCTGTATGATGTTCTGCATTGGAACCAACACTGCAGAAAGAAAGATACAAAATAAAATACATTCATATTAACAGTGTGGCACTTGAAGGGATGGCTTTAACTCCCTCCTCTACTGAAGCCATTTCAATGGCCCCTGTACAGAGGGGCTAAGTGGGGACGAGAAGGGAGGTAAAGACCTATGTCTTTGACTGCGTTTTCGGACACCTTTTCCTGCCACCCTACCTCCTTCACAGCTCGGGCTTCACTAACATCTTTATAAAGTTCTTCAAGTCATTATCCTTCCTTGAAAGGCACTATAAGCGTAAATTGTTTGAGATGAGGCAATCGGAATAAGTTTCCTGAGTTGTGAGATTACAATGGAAAGATCCTATTGCATTTTCACATTGTTGAGTTTGGTAAATTAAATCATGATTGCAGAATCACCTCATTAGGTGTATTCCTACCATGCTATGCTTCCTTTTACTTACAAGAGAGCAACATTGATAAATAGTGTGTTACACATACGGAAACGATTTGACATTTCCCTTCAATAAGGGATTAACATTGGATTGACAGCAATACCTTTAAAACAAATCAGCAAGAAATGTAACTTGGGCATCAGAGACATTTCTGATAGGTATGTCTGGGCTGAATCCAACCCAGAGTCAAAGGGCAAAGATCAATGGTTTGTTCACTACATTAGCTGGTCCCCTTTTCCTCGGGAGGCCTTTGGATATTTTCTGCCAATTTTTCCTGTTAGCTCAATAGTGCTGCTTTCAGTAACTGAATTCTACTTCACACTCTCCTTGTCCAAAGAAAAAGATTTCTCAGGAGGGCAGTTAAACCTGAAGTCATAGCACTCTTACATAAACACAGGAAAGCAAACAGTTTTGAGTGCAAACAGTGCTAACATTTTACAACAAAATCGCCAAATTCGTAATTGTAGAGAGCGTAAAAACCAAATGCTGCTTTTATTTGCAATTCTGAGACTAGTTCTAGTGGTTAGAGCTAGGTTCTGTTATCCTACCAACTGGCTCACACGAGCTGAGAAAGTACTTACTTCCTGCAACTCCCCACATGCGCTCCTCTTGAAATTGCAACATTTGATAGGTAAATCCCATTCCTTCTTTCCCAATGAGGTACTTGCTTGGAACTCTGACATCTTCGAAAAAGATTTGTGCTGTGTCTGATGATCTCATACCCAATTTATCGATCTTCTTGGCCACCTGGATTCCTAAAAATATAATTTATACAGTTAGTTAATCGAACATCGTAACAAGAACCGGCTTTCAGTAATGCAGGAGCAATTAAATCGTGTTAATGTTCATTTGAATTAAAAAGGTATTTCCAAGTTCCAAGTATATTTGTAATCTTTATATATCTTTACATATTTTTATAAACTACCACAAGTGGTCTACAAGGTTCCTGCTGGGTGCAGTTGGTAACACTTTTGCCTCCGAGTCAGAAGGTTCAAGCTCCATGTTGGAACTTTAAACCCACAATCTAGACTGATACTCCAATACAGTGCCCTTGGAGAAACAATCCCTCAGATTAAAAAANCATTCACCTCATGGAGTCCTGTAGCTCAGTGGTTAGAGCACTCGCTTTGCAAGCGAGAGACCTGAGTTCAATTCCAGGCAGAGGGCGAAACCTTGGGCAAGTTTCCTTACTCCACACAGAGCCTAATAATAATCCCTCCAAAACCAAAAACAATAATAAATTGGTCATTTTCAATCTACGACTGTTTGTGGGACACTGCTGTGCGCAATTGGCTGCCGTGTTCGCCCACAAATATACAGTCAATTCACTTTACAGTGTGTTCTGTGAAGCGCTTTGGGACGTCCTCCCGACGTGAAAAGCGCTATATCAAATGCAAGGATTATTATTATTATTAGGATTATTATTGAGTCAAACAGGGCACAGATTGGCTGCCACATTCACCTACAAATATACAAACACTACTTACACTTTACAGCAAAAAAAACTTTGAAGCGCTTTGAGGCATTTCGAATTGATAAGGCACTTTATCAAATGTAAGGCTTTTGATTACATTCAGTCTATAGTGAGGCGTATAACAGAAGGTGTCATACTAAATTGATTGTTATTATTGATAAAATAATCAAATAATAATTTTCTAAAAATTTCTATGGGTACAAATTCCATCCAAGCCTAAAAATACTCTACTAACATAGTAATTCAGAGTGTGTAGAATTTGTCAAACTGTTGAAATCAATCCTAACTTTCAAGTTAATCTTCTATAGCTCTTTAAAAAAATTACAGAAAACTGGCTTCAAAATTATAGACCGTATTTAAGAATTTGACAAATTCTGGACACTGTAAAATGCTAAGAAAGTATAGTAAATCTTGGCTCAGGTGGTATTTCCAGCCAGTGATGTTTTAAATACAAGTAAATTATAAAAATATAGGGTTGTAATTGTACCCAAAGTTATATTTCCATGAAATATCAATTTTATTATTTCTTTAAAGCCTCAATTTTCTTCCAAATATCATTCACCATTTCTCGCTGAGCAAATATCAAGGTAACCTTCCTCGTAAGTGCCTGTTAATGCTTTTTGTTGTCAGCTGCAGCAATGGTTCACATGATAAGTAAGTCAGTAGACTTTAAAGAATGGTGAAAATGTTAAAACTTGTCAAAATTACCATGGTAAATCAAAAAAATCTGGCAGTCAGTATCATGTTTCTCACAAACGTAATTTCCCACAAAATGGCATTGACTGTAAATTTCACTTTTCATCATTTCTGCACTTCATTTGGAAACATAGACTAGAAAACATAGACTAGACTAGTACAGGACTCGAAAAGACCATTGTAGTACAGTATATATGGTCAGTCCAGGTGGTGGAGTAGGAAGATGTGGGGTAGGAAGGAAGGCTGGTGATCCAACCTGATACCTAGGTTGTACACTGGTCCAGTGAGTCTGAGGGACGAGGAGGCTAAGGAGATCAGAACCACAGATGAGAAGCTAAGGAAAATGGCTTCCGATTTGTCCACATTCAGCTGCAGAAAGCTGGCACCCAACCAGGACTTGTTGTCTAATCCTAGACTACACTATCTCTCTCACACCTTAAATCTTTGGCAAATAGCTTTCTAAATTACTCTTGAATTTGTTGATATATTTCCTCTCCATTGTTTCCCTGGGTGGTTTCGTCCACATATTTACCACTCAGTGTAGAGTAATTGAATCTAAAATGTCTGTTCATCTTTCTTCTTCGATCGAGTTGAATGAGGAATTCTCAAAATATTTTTCCTATTTAACTGCACTATTAGGAGCACAGTATTTTGTTTGAGTTATTTGTCCTGACTTACATTGTGCTATTTATACTTTAATAAAACCTAATATTATTAATGCTTTAACACCCCTTCCCTCTCCTCTTGGCTTGTTGTCAAACTCTGAAGCACTCTGGGACGTTACCCTACTCTATATAAATGTTGTTGTTGTTTACATAATGGAAACATTAACAATGTATTCAGTATTTTTTNAAATGCACTTTGCTATAATGTATGGTGGTAGAATTACATGAAAGGTCATTGTTAATTCTAGCCCATGACTGAATAATAATCCTTGCATTTGATAATCCTTGCATTTGATATAGCGCTTTTCACGTCTTCTAGACATCCCAAAGCGGTTCACAGAATATACTGTAAAGTGAATTGACTGTAGATTTGTGGGCGAACGCGGCAGCCAATTGTGCACAGCAATGTCCCACAAACGGTCATGGATTGAAACACTTTGGCTTGGGGTGAAATAATTATTTTAGTTTGTTCTCTCTCCCTGTATCAACCAAGTTCAGATCTACCAATGGTCAGGTGGTGAAAATAGTGAAATTTAAATGATGGCAAAGAGTGAGATCACACTCGAGCCCTCTGTACAGGAGCTCACTGCTCCACTGCTGAGGATACCGCCCACAATTTTCATCCAATCTCTAAAACTCATGGTCCAGACTGATACACAAGTGCAGTCCTGGGAGTGTGCTTCATTGTCATAAGTGCCGTTCTTCAGATGAGATGTTAAACAAAATCTCCAGTCTGCTTGTTCAGGAGATATTAAAGACCCAAAGAACAATTCAAAAAGAGGAGTTTCTCCCAGTGTTATGGCCAATAATCCCAAAGTTAAATTGGTTATTTATGGCTGCTTGTGCGACAAAGCTGCGCTCAAATTGGTTGTCACATTCAGCTACAAACAGGCAGAAACTACAACTTACAGGAAAAAAAGCAGTTTGAGATGTTTTGATTTGATGAGGTGTTATATTAAATGCAAGGATTATTATTATTATTTTTACAATAATTATCTGTCTAAGCAAGAGGTATGCTGGTACAATCCTGAGTATTAATTTAGATCAATAAATTTGATGTGCAGTGCATCCATTACCTTCTAAATTCATGGGAAGACATATGAGAGACTTGTTTCTGTGACGAGGTCCATCATTAGTGTTTGCTAAGAGACACATCCAGTCAGCCTGACATCCATTAGTTATCCACATCTTTCCTCCGTTTATTATGTAGTCATCTCCCTTCCTGACAGCTTTGGTCTTGATATCTGCAAACAAATGAATACATTCCTGACAATACTAAAACACAGAAAATGATCAAAACATTCTGTAAAGTGATATAACATAACATGTAGGAGGAGTAGACCATTCGGCCCTTCGAGCCTACCCCGCCATTCAATCATGACTGATCTTCTAATCTAACTCCAGCTAATAACCTGACCCTGCCTTATCCCCATATCCCTTAATCCCTTTTGCAATAAGAAATCTATCTATCTCAGTCTTGAATACTTTCAAGGACTGAGCTTCAACAGCCCTTTGGGGTAGTGAGTTCCATACATTCACCACCCTTTGAGTGAAGAAGTTTTCTCAACTCAGCGCGAAAGGGCTGGCCTCTGATTTTAAGATTGTGACCCCTGGTTTTAGTTTCTCCAACCAGGGGAAACAATCTCCCACTATCTACTCTATCATGCTCTTTGATGACCTTATAGGTTTCTATAAGATCCCCTCTAATTCTTCTATATTCTAGAGAATATAGGTCCAAATTGGTCAGCCTATCTTTGTAACTCATCTCCTTCATCCCTGGCACTGACCTAGTAAATCTACGCTGCACCCCCTCCAAGGCAAGTACATCCTTCCTTAAATGAGGAGACCAAAACTGGACACAGTATTCCAGGTGTGGTCTCACCAGGGCCCTATACAGTTGCAGCAAGACTTCCCTACTCTTATACTCTAATCCTTTCATAATGAATGCGTACATAACGTTCGCCTTCCAAGTTACTTGCTGGACCTGCAGACTAACTTTCTGTGATTGGTGTACAAGGACACCCAAGTCGCTCTGGACGGTAACATATTCCAATCTCCCCCCTTCTAAAAATAACCCACTGTACTGTTTTTGCTACCTCGGTGGATAACTTCGCACTTCTCTACATTATACTTCATCTGCCACCTACCTGCCCAATCACCTAACCTATCTATGTCTCGCTGCATTTTTTTAATGTCGTCCTCTGTGTTGACACTTCCTCCTAGTTTTGTGTCATCCGCGAATTTAGATATATTAACTTTGATGTTCTCATCATGTCCTCATGAAGCGTTTTCTTTTTTTTGAAGTCTTTTAAACAATTGTTTTTAAAAAACTTACTATAAACTGAAGTAAAACAGTTAATAATATGTTGAACTCTAAAGCTGCCAGTGTTGGAGACTATATTAAATGTAATGCAGTGAAATCAACACAACTACCTTATTATGTAACTGAATTTGAAGTTGTCATCAGCTAATTAGAGGGTAATTCTTGTAGCATTATTTTCCTAGCAGGTTGATATGGTGCTACAAGAAATGCATTTCAGTTTCGTTAATGGGTGCTGGAGCCTTATTCTGACATAGGGCTTCTTTGTTTTCATAGATATATCTCAAAAAGTATATCTAACCCCGTTTCCAGTCATCTTTCCCCTCCCCCACCTTGGCTCCCACCCCCAGCTCAGGTGCCTATCCAGCATTATCAAATGCTTTGAGACATATTCCTGATGTGAAAGGCGATATATAAATGTAAACTATAATTGTAATTCTCTCAAGAAAGTGAATGGATTATATGAGAATGAATAATGCAAATAGTGTGCGTGTGTCACGGGGGGTGAGGAGAGAGAAAGAATAGGAGCAAATAAGAGGAAAGATTTATTTCAGATCTTTTTACTTTTGGACAGATTCACCATGAAGAACACCCCTAATGGTCTCCTCTGCCAGAAATTGTTATTTCTTTACAAAAGGGAATGTTTGGGAGTGTGGATAATGCTTCCTTTCAGCAAATGAATAGTCTCACAAGGTAGATTGATTAACCTTCCTCAGTGTGATCCACTTACTAGGATTAGTCATCAGTACCGTCACCCAAAGGAGTACGGGAGGAAAGGAAAGAGGAAACACACACCTTATGGAATATTCAAAATACCAGCCCAAGCAGTTTTTACAATGAGGGGTGTGAGCCACAGGATGCAAATGACAGATCGGTTTTAAAATAAATCTAATCCTAACAACAAAAGACTATCTAGTATTAGTGTCCGACATGCATTTGCTGATGTGGGCTTTGCACCACTATAAATACTTTTGCCAAGGGTAACCCTATCTGTTGGTGTTGGGCCTGGTAAAGTTCCTTTATTTTGTACAGTAACTATAGGTGGTGTTGATTTTGTTCCACAATTGTCACCTATTCTTTTAAAATATCTGAAAGAAGCACATTAATTTGAATCAGTTTCTGTCCCTACTTCTAATTGTGTGATACTAGATATTTAGTGAGGTAAACCGCTTTGATCTGGCAAATGTGAAGATTGTATGTACTTGCAACATCAGATCCAGCTTCTGCTTCACTGACTCCTAAACAGGCTACCAAGTCCCCAGCAATGGTAGGTGTAAGGAACTGACGTTTCAATTCATCTGAGCCAAACCTAGGAAAAAAAAGGTGCTAGATTTTTCTAATCACAAATTATATCTTATTTTCCAAATCAATATTTTAACATAAATAATGACAATTGAGTTGCAGACTTTAAACTATTTTTAAGGACCAAAATATTTAATATAATGAAGTCCAAGTTGCAGGCAAACTCTGTAAGTCATAGAAAATCCGATTTAATCAATTAGCTATGTATACGCATGTGTAATTCAATGCAACCAGTAACTATCCATACGGTGACGGGTCAAGATGACATTTCCTGCGAATCAATGCACCCCGACCTGTTGCCGCAAGCACATTTACTGGCAAGCATTGCAATTGCATTGAACTGTGGGAAATTAAGTTCTTCTGTGCATGTGTCAATCAATCAAGACTATGTTTCCCGTGATTCAATGCAGCCGGGTAGAGGGGGGACGTTACGAATTGATTAACACAAGTAGTGGAAATAAATCTACGTGGTTTAATAGGAAACTGAAAGGGACTTAGGTGAATGTACGACTTATGATAATAAGTACAATAATACGATTTATAAAGATAAGACATAGGCGAGGTTTACAGTATCTATAAAAAAAATTCAATGTTTTTTTCCAGGAAACAGGCAACATGCCTCAATGCAATAGAAGTAGGGAACAAAATCACTGGTACTAATCCTTGTATTTGATACAACATCTGTAACATCAGGAAACGTCTCAACGTACTTAACACGATTTCAGTAAAGAGTGGTGAATGTATATTAGTAGGCAAACACAGTAGCCAATATGCACACAGCATTGTCTGACAAACAGCCATGATAAGGATGAGCAATTTTATCTAGTGGAATGTTGCCTCGGATCTTTAACATCCACCTGGACAGGGCAGACGGGACCCCGGTTTAATGTCTCATCCCAAGGAGAGGAACATGAAGCACAGCAAAAGTGCCGAATCCTCAAAGCCTTGATCCTTTCTCTCACTGTAATACTGTTTGATGGAGGGAATCATTCAGAATATGATCCAGCTGGGATTAGGAAACAGACTGATGTAAAGGGTTAGAACACTGTGCTTTCACCTCTGGTACCTGGGTTCAAGTTCAGACTGATCAGACTGAAAGCCGTCTCCTCTGACAGTTGCAAGATTCTCAGATTAAATGTATTTAAATTGTCTTAATCCCTTTTCTAGTGTCTGTCAGCACACAGCACAAACTGTCCATAATTCAGGGCTAATTTGCAATATGACACAAAGGAAATCATAAGGATTGCTGAGTGGGGAATGGAAACTCACCCTAGTACAAGAAAATGCGCTGTGCTGAGGCTGACGGTGAAAGTGTTATTTCACCAGAGTAACGTTTTGTGGAGACCCCCGGGTGAAGTGCGGCAGCAGAGAGGATGAGATAAATTGAGATAAAGTAATCAGGTGATGCCAAGCTTGGATTTATGGATTCCACTTTGTATCTAATACGTGGCGTGCATGAATAGAGGTGTATTGATGCTAATATTAGCTGACAAAAGCACAAAATACCCTACTTTACAGACTGATGCCCCTTTACCTTGATAAATGCAATTTAACCATTTTTTACATTTTTGGACAGGCAAAATCAGACACAGTTTAGTTCTGCACAGTTTAAGAGGAAAATATGGTTAATGTTTCATCCAGTACCTGTCTGCAAAGAGTGTATGCTATATAGATTAAAGGCTGTAAGTAAAACACCCTGTACAATAGAGTATGGCTCAGAACGAGCCAATGTAAATATTGTTGTTCAAGACAAAAATGAATGCCATATCATTGCACTATAATAACTATAATAACTGTTGCACAGTACAGTAGCCTACTTTAGTTAATATAAAATTCATACAGAATTAAGCCCTATAGTCAGAAATATAATGGTCAATTCTTATTTTTCATGTGACTCATCTTAATGCTGTAACTTCACCTCAACTCTCAGGATGCAACAGAAAATAATCTTGCTCATAATAGGTAATTGTTCTCTCCCAAGACTTCAAATAAGAATTAATCATTTTTATTCTCTCTTTGTTTCTTAAATAACTTGTGGCTAACATCCTCAGCAAACAAAGAATGCAATTTTTTTTTAAATTGACAGATTTTGACCTGGGATTCCACAGCAACCTCTTGTACTCATTACAAAGGCTGGGAGCTGTCAGTGTCTGCGGCCTGGTTTACTTTAGACAGAGGAATCCAGACGTTTGAGCAGCTGTCTTTAGAGAATGGCTCCAGCCAGGAAAATTCACCCTAAGTAACTGCTGAGCTGCAAAGTTTTCCTTTGGGACTTGCAGTGTTTCTCTGAGAGAAAAATCGCAACTGGCAAATGGCATTCTGAAATACAGGTGCTTTTAGCGGAGCTAAAGCACTGCAGTGTTGCACTTTTTCTGCACCGTTCATCAATCTATTGTGATAAGATTTGTTTGTTTCTTCAAAAAGGAAGACTCCCTGCAAATAAACGGAAAATGTGATTTAACAAAATAAAAGGACAGACCGGTAAAAGAACTTGTTGTGAAAAAAACAAGAAATCTGGCCTTTTTAAAAAGAAAATTCTGGAACTATTTCACAATGTAAATGAAACACTGTTAATCTTTACTCTGGTGTATAGATCTTCATTGCATGATGGAATGAATTAGCTGCTGAACTAAAAACCTTACTTGAGTTAGAAGAGACAGTTCGGGCATTCTACGAATGGTGGCAATAGTGAAATCAATGTGCTGCCTCAATTCACCGTTTGGAAGTGTTACTGGCACAATAGTTAACTATAGTAAAATATGCAAAAGATTTTGACTTGAATGGAATTTCCACTAAGTTGGGATTAAAAACTATTTTCCTTGGAACAGCTACTTGCATTAAATCATTACTTTTCAATATTTTGATAAGATTAGTTTGCTTCTTCAAAAAGGAAGATTTCCTGCAAATAAAGGGAAAATGTGATTTAACAAAACAAAAGGACAGACTTGTAAAAGAACTCGATGTGAAAAAAACAAGAAATCTGGCCTTTTTAAAAGGAAAATTCTGGAACTATTTCACAATGTAAATGAAACGTGTACCCTGCGTCAAGTACATTTTATATTCAATGATCCAATTTCTTGGTTGTTTTGTTAAAAATAACTTATATAATGGTGCTGTTGACTATGTTAGGTCTCCTGTACATTGACATTTTTTATAATTATAATATATTTAATATATATGCTCCAAAGTTATTATTAATATTATTTTCTTCCTGTTTAGGTTGTTTGCAATATTGTATATTGCATAATCACCTAAGTTGAACATTCGCCCGAGTTCCATTCAGTTTCCTATCAAAACCACTTAGATTTCTTTGTACTACTCGTATTAATCACCCAACTCGTATCGCTGCTCCCCTTTTCTCCATTATTCCTGCACTTACCAGCTTGCTTGAATCACAGGAATGACGTTCTGACCTGTGCACGCATGTGCACTTACAGGCCAGCTGACTGAATCGTGGGTAGTCTTGATCCATCGACACATGCGGAGAAAAACTTAATTTCCCATGATTCAATGCAATTCAATGCTTGCCAGTAAGTGCACATGCAGCGACGGATCACAACAACTACAACAACAAAATTACATTTGTATAGTGCCTTTCACGTCAGGAAGACATCCCAAGGCGCTGGACAATTAGTGTTTCGGACCCGAGCGTTACGAGTTTACTGAAAGTAAGTTTCCTTACTCCACTTGCCTCTATTTACCTAGCAGTAAGTAAGAACCCGGTCGTAAGTCGATTGGCGGATCGCTTTTCCAGGATAATAACCCCCTCAAAAAATAATAATTTGGTCAGTCAATCGACGATTGTTTGTGGGACACTGCTATGCACAATTGGCTGCTGCGTTTCACCCTCAAATATACAGTCAATTTACTTTACAGTATATTCTGTGAAGCACTTTGAGACGTCTAGAAGATGTGAAAAGAGCTATATCAAATGCAAGAATTATTATTATTATTATATTAAACATAAGCTTGTAAAAGCACAAATGTGATTAGAAATGATCCTGAGAAGAGAAATGACATACCTAGCTAAAGCTGGTGTTGCCATGTCACTCTGGACACCGATTGCCATGGGCACTCCTCCACAGCGGATGTGTCCCAGCTCTTCTGCCACAGCCATACTGTAGCTGAAATCCAAACCGAGTCCACCATATTCTGGGGAAAAGGTAAAACAGTATTACACACAAGGAAAACAGGAACATGGAAGGCTGTTCAACCCATTGAACCTTGGCCATCACTTTATTAGATCTTGGCAGATCGTTTAATCTGAATTCCTATCCTTTCGTTATACCCCTTATTTCAAATATGTGTTATATTTCAAACTGTTCAAAAGGCTTTAACACGAGCACATTATTTCTGTTTAATTGAGAGTTGTTAGCAAACAGTAGAGAAAGGTTAAGAACAGTACCGTATTTTTCAAAGTAGCTTCTCATCATGTAACATTGGTGAGCATAGTACATTAAGTCACAGATATCAACTATCCCCTTAAGACAATTAAGCCATGGCACTGTTTGAAAAAAGAATCCTGGCAATCATTCTCCCAGATAAAATTTGTCATTCATGCCATTTATTTCACATTTTTGGATGAGTGACTGTTGGGACCCACACCCAAATCATCAGCTTGTTAAGACATCATGATGATAAGACTAAAAAGTTGTCAAAGATGTGATTTAGAACTTTACCGGAGATGAAAACCATAAACAGCACCAGATCCACAAACAAATTCACAGAGGGAAAGAGAGGGCAATGACGTCCCTTCCTTAACAGAATGCTGAATCGGATGCCAGGTGTTTGAGAAATGTGACTATATGTGACTGCAACTCTTGCATCTATTAAAACTTACTGCATAATTTGTAGGTTCAATGAAAAAGCCTGATTAATTGAGGGAAAAAAAGGACTTAAAGTACAGTATGTGTTATTTTACAGTATGTGTGGAGTACCCTGTGATCCATTTCTGTATTGTAGTGCATTGGAAGACAGTAGCATTTAATCTGAAACACAAAGGAGGTAAAGAAATTTCTGGTGACTTGACCCAGGCTTAACCTGTCAGTACCACTGAGTCGTTCTGGGATACTACCCTGCGTGAGGGGCACTATATAAATGCAAGTTGTTGTTGTTGTTGCATGCTGACAATATACTGGTCACATTTATTTATGTATGTATACATATGCCTAACTTTCCACTTTGGATAACGATAACAATAATATGATATAGCGCCTTACCATTTGTCAAGCCAATAATAAATGAACCAACATTTATTATCTTCTACATATTTTGTGAACTAGACTAGAATAAGACTCACTGATGCCTTTTAGATTTTAGTAGAGCTTAATGCCGAGTGTGAAACGTCTTGTGACGTCCATTTGAATAGTGAAAACACCCAATGATACAATTTTAGATTTTGCAACACATGACTAGAATTAAGTACTAGTAGTCAAGTCTTCCACTGGTGGTGATAGCATTTGTTGCAAGTAGAAGTGATGAGTTAAATGCATTGTGCAAAAATATACTGGCACACATTCATAAAAATCCTAGTGATGACATTGCAGTATTAAGTGAGCCACAAGTTCTACTGAATACTTATACAATTAAAGCTATTGAGTATTATCAAAAGCAAACACATAACAGGTGTTTTGAAGCTGTGAACTGTTAGTAAGGGTCAATCATCATCATATTCCAAGTAATTATCTAATATAATGCTCCCTGGATTGAGAACTCTCATACACAGATGACTAAATTGCCTAATTCATCTTTTCAACAAATTCCCTCATCTTCTCAAAGATGTAATTACAGTTTCTCAGTGATTTCACACTCTCTTGAAATATATTTTTACAAGCTTATCCTGCTCTACTCTGATGAGACACAATCTTTTAGTTTAGTCACTGTTCTTTTCCATTCGACTTTTGGACATGTTGGCCTGGCTCAGTTGGTTGTGCTGTTTGTGAGAAACTACTGCTTGCAAGTTAGCCGACAAAATACACAATCACTACAATTTACACTCTCCTGTGAAGCATGTTTGAAATATCCTCCCAAAATAAAAGGAGCTTATCAAATGCAAAGATTAATATTATTTTTTCTGCATTGACAATAAAGCCATTGATGGAATGCCGACTAAAAAAAATACCTCCCCAGGAAATGTATTTTTAAATAAAATTTCAAACAAGTTTAAAACAAAGTGACTCAGTAGCACCTACACGTCAGCAACGGACCACACAACAGATAAATCTAGTACTTAAAAACAAAGGCTGTGCAGTAATATATCATGAAAATGTGAAATGGATCTAACTGATGATAATCTGAAAATGTAATTCAAAAAAGTATTGCATCCAAACTACAGTGCTCGTAACTGAAGTAATTTTAACAGTGGTCATAGATCTGAATTGGTTTGATCCAGGGAGTCTTACTAACATTTGGTGGAAACCCATAATTGCAAACAGTCACTTACTCAAGGCTATTTTCAGAAGGCAAATCTAGTGTTTATTTTAATATTAGCACGTGTTTCACCCACAAATACACAGTCAATTCATTTTACAGTATATTCCGTGAAGCGCTTTGAGACGTCTAGAAGAGGTGAAAAGCGGTATATCAAATGCAAAGATTATTATTATTATGCTCTGAGAAGAGCGGTGAGAACAATTGAAGGACTGTAAATCATGCAAAACAAACTGAACTTTTCTAGATCTGAAATTTCAGTGGGGGAAAAAAGATTGAAGGGAGATAACTTCAGTCTTTAAAATTATGAAAATAAAGGTTAGGGTTAGTATACGCAGGTTACTGAACTAAAATTTTGATTGTAAGCCAGAAGGCATTAGTACAAGACTAGCAAATTGAAGCCAAGATTAGAGATCAGAAAATCCACCCTTCCCCTAGCGTACGTAAGCAATATTGTTCCAGCTAAAACAGTTCTGTTGCTTCACTGCTTTTTTTAAAAAAAAGTGTTGTTTAAGAGCAGGTACAGATAATCATTTTACTGTATATAGTTGGATTAGTGCCTTGCTTCATCAACAAATCAGCCAGCAATGGAATATAATGTTGAATATAATTTTTGTTTTTCTTGATTACCTTCAAAGCTCGGGGAGACTTTTTGCAGAGCTTTATATTTTTGGAGATTTATTGGAAGTGGTTGCTTTCCCTGAGTGGGTTGGGTAGAGTCAACACACAATATACATTCAATGTGGTCTATGGTCGGGAATGAGGAGATATCTGGACAAATTTCTTTACAAGGCATCCTCATGCAGGATTGTGGTTTGGAAACTAATCTTCCATTTCATGTTGTGGAGTCCTGTAGCTCAGTGGTTAGAGCACTCGCTTTGCAAGTGAGAGACCTGAGTTCAATTCCAGGCAGAAGGCGAAACCTTGGGCAAGTTTCCTTACTCCACACAGAGCCTAATAATAATCCCTCCAAAAAAANCTAAAAACAATAATTAAATTGGTCATTTTCAATCTACGACTGTTTGTGGGACATTGCTGTGCGCAATTGGCTGCCGCGTTCGCCCACAAATATACAGTCAATTCACTTTACAGTGTGTTCTGTGAAGCGCTTTGGGACGTCCTCCTGACGTGAAAAGCGCTATATCAAATGCAAGGATTAAATTAGGATTAAAAACTGCAATACAAAAGTATAAAGGAGACATTTAGCAACACTCATGGTGCTGGTGGTGGCTTGGCTTGCTCTTGTCACTCTTTTTAGTAACCTCTGGATTCGAAGAATGGGGTTAACTGATTCTTCCCTCAAATTGGCCATAGGTTCTTTTTCATTTTCTCTGAATTTTTCCCCTGCCGAGGAGGGGACAAAGAAGCCATCAGCAGGAGAGATGTGGAGGTGAATACTGTAAGGGAGATAGATTGGGGGGTTTCTCGCAGGAGTGAACTCAATGCTTTTTCACTGCTTTCCAAGACATTTTTATGCCAAATTTGCTGCCCTGCTTACCTACAAATATACAGTCACTAACTATATTTTACAAAAAAACTCAGTGAGGTCAATTGTGACATTTTGATGCAACTTTTTTTGGTGGGCAGCCAGACATCTGACAAATGTGGAAACCCATCCCCATGCTTAAGAGTATCCAAACCAAACTGAGAATTCCATGCATCCCACCTACACTTGGAAATCCCAGAGTTAGATTTTTGGAATGGAATGCGCACTCTCTCCCTGGAGGGACGCATCCTGCTTACTTATTTCCAGAGAGTATTAGGTTCTGACTGTCAAAAGCCAAGGCTTGGGGACCCCAGAGTGTGTGTTGGGGTACTGTATATATGGATATGTGCCTCAGCTTTGTAAAATATACCCATTCTACAACAAGCTAGTATAATTATCTCCTCCAATTAAAGAGTTAATATCTTATGCATGTTTGTCACTGTGCTCAGCACTGCTCAGCATCGCTCCAGGTATCAACGCCAACAGCTGCAAACTGGATGACAGGGGAATAAGTGGCAAAATGAAGAATAGGAGACAAAGTATGCAGATAAGGACAGCAATAGGGAAAAACAAAGAGATCGAAAAGAAAAATGGTTAAGATTATAAAAAGGAACAAAGTACGAAAGGCAACTGAGGAAACAACATGAGGAACAAAAAGATAAAGCAGAAAGAAATACTGAGCGCATAGGAAATATCAAGAATGAGAAAAGGCCATTCTCCTGTAGTGTGGAGTCCTGTAGCTCAGTGGTTAGAGCACTTGCCTTGCAAGCGAGAGACCTGGGTTTGATTCCCGACAGGGCAAAACCTTGGGCAAGTTTTCTTACTCCACACGTCTGATAATAATCCATCAAGAAAAAAATAAAAAATAAAAAATAATTTGGTCACTCATTCCATGACTGTTTTTGGGACACTGCTGTGCTCAATTGGCTGCTGCGTTTCGCCCACAAATATACAGTCAATTCACTTTAGAGTATATTCTGTGAAGCGATTTGAGACATCTAGAAGATGTAAAAAGTGTGATATCAAATTCAAGGATTTTTGTCCAGTCCATCAAAGTTCACTGCTTTTATATTCTTCAGATATTTACTTATTTCCCTGATCTATAGGTATGCAAACATGGCTCAATTAGTAGCACTATCACCTTTTGAGTCAGACAGTTGCGGGCTTAACAACAACAGGTTTAAATTTATTTTGTATCTTTCATGTCAGAAGGACATCAACCCAAGGCACTGGACAA